TGGGGCAGGTGCGCAGGTGTGTGAGTGTTCAGGAGTGTGTGTGGGGTCAGGTGTTTGTAGATACAGGAGCGTGAGGGGACCCAGGTGTGTGTGGGCCCATGGGTGTGTTGGGGTTCAGGTGTGCGGGAGCGGGTTGGGGGCAGGTGTGTGGAGGAGGTCGGCTGGGGAAACATGAGGGCAGCTGGAAGGCAGCTGGGAGGCCACCAGCCTGGCTGGCTGCGTGTGGCTGCCCTGTGGCTGGCGGTGGAACAGCAACAGGCTGCCGGCCTGCCGGCCGTCGCACCTGCGGCTCCTGCAGGCCTGCCCCAGCCAGGGATGCGGGGTCGGCGACCGCAAAGCCTGGAGTGAGGCTAGTGCAGTCCAGTCGCAGGGGGCCGGGGTCGGGCGGTGCCGACGCCACGCTGCGGCGCGAGGAGAGCCGCGCCAGGCTGGCACGGGCCCGCAGCCGCAGGCTGCTGGCGCCGCCAGCTGGCGCGGCGCCGCCCTTGACAGCCGGCCGCAGCGCCAGCCGCAGCACTGCCACGCCGCACTCCTCTGCCGCCTCTTCCGCCTCGGGAATGCCACGGGCAGGCAGCTGCATGGCACGAGGGAGGCTTGAAGGGTGGCACTCGGGGGGCTTGCCTCTCTCTGTCCCACACGACCCGACCTCACAGGCAGCGCCCAGGCCAGCCCACAGGCTCGCGCTGCTGCCGGCGGCTGCTTTCGGCGGCTGCGGCGGCGGCCGGTGGCCCCACCAGCAGCAGACGGGCGCCGCCGTCGCGCAGCGTCTGCCCAAACTCGGGTGCCTTGTAGTTGGGATTGGCGGGCAGCAGCACGCAGCGCGCCCAGAACACGCCCAGCGCGCCCACCACATACTCTGCCGTGTTGTCCTGTGCGGGTGTGTTGAAAGGGGAGGGGAAGGGGAAGGGTAAATGGAAAGGGGAGGGGAAAGGGAAGGGGAGAGTCACGGCAGGACGCGGGCGTGGCGGCGCTGGGCTGCGATCCGAGGGAGAGGGGACGCAAGCTGCGAGGCGTGACTGTGGGCTGCACGGCGCGGGCACAGGCGGGCACCGAGGGAGACGAGAGGCGGCACACGGGGCCTCACGTCTGAGAGCGCAACTACGTCCCCTGGGCGCAGCCCGCTGGCCAGCAGGGTGCTCGCCAGCTGCACATCAGGAGAGATGGGCGGCAGGTGGGTGCTGGCGGCAGGCGAGCGGGCAGCGGAACACCGGCATCAGCCGTCAGCCCTCGACCGCCGCCGTCCCCACCTGTACTGCCAACGCCTCCAGCTGCCCTCTGGAAAGCGACACCCCTCCCGCCACGCCCGGCAGATGCAGCGCCGGCGCGTCGCTGTCGCCGTTCTCAGACAGGAGGCTCCGCAGCGTGCGCAACACCACAGGAGCCTGCAAGGGGCAGGGCAGGGTGGACGAGCATGCGGCGGCGGCGGCACGGGCGGCGGCGGCGGTATGTGGTTGGCGGCAGCGCGGGACTGCAGCGCATTCGCCTCCCGCTGCATGTGACAAGTGCCCAGTAGCGGCAGGAGCAAGCGGCCCACCTCCCAGTCCGCCGTGGCCATCGTGAGGAGGCAGATGGCGCCTGTGCAGGTGCCGCTGCAGCACCCTGCTATGGTGCACGCAACATCGTGCGGGCGTGAGCACGATGGTGTGTCCTGTTAGGTTAGGGGGCTCCTCAGGAAGCGATCTCGAAATTGCTGCTCCCCTCCCCGACTCTGTCGATGGCGTATCGTGATCAGGAAGTCTCACAATGCAGGAGGGGACGATTAAAGAATCAAAATGGCGCTCGTATGCTTGCGATGACACATCAGCAACACAGCCACCGAGATCTCCTCCGAAACCCGCCCCGTTAATCGGAGGTAACTGCAGATGAACAGAATGGGTTCCGAGAACATTGCGGCGGTGCTACACGGCGTTGATGACTTGCGGGTGCAGCCCTGGCCTCTCACAGGTGCCTTCACCCTTGATCAGAACGAGCGCATGTTTGTGGCCGGCGGAGAGCTCCAGGCAGCAGCACAATGCGCGTGGGCGGCAGCGAGGACAGCAGCAGCGGCGCGCGCACCCACCGCGTGTGGACGCCTGCTCCCCCTGTTGGCACTGCAGGGGAACCTCCTGATGGCTGCGTGCGGGTTGCCATCAAGGCTGTCGGCATCTGCGGCAGCGACGTGCACTACTGGAAGCGGGTGTGCGCTCCCCGCCTGCCGCCGAGCGCTCCCAGCCGGCTGGTTCGGGCGCCTGGGCCCTCCAAGCAACGACTCGGCATGCCCTGGCACCTCTCAGCCGTGTGCTGCTGCCCTGGCCTGCCTGTCCCTTGGCCCTGCAGGGCCGCATCGGCCCGTTTGTGGTGGAGCAGCCCATGGTGATCGGCCACGAGTCTGCAGGCACAGGTGGCTTCCGGCTGGCTGCCTGCAGTACCGGCAAGGTGCCGTGACTGCGTCAGGCCTGTGCCGCCCCCTCATGATCATGCCTCCGGCTCCTCTCCTCTGTGGCCCCTGCAGTGGCGGCCGTGGGCAAGGGGGTGGACTCGCTGCGGGTGGGAGACAGGGTGGCTCTGGAGCCGGGGGTCCCATGCTGTGGGCACCGCCACAGCAGGTGGGCCGCCCCTGCGCGCCGCATGGCTCTGGCGCTGAGGTGGTGCTCCCAGCATCCCACTGGCGTTGCACTGCCAGCGCTGCCGGGGCGCTGCCGCCGCTATCGCTGCAGGGAGGGGTTGGCCGATCCTGTCCCGTGCACTGCTGTCACTGCTGCTGGTGCCGGTTTGGTACTGCAGGGAAGGGCGGTACAACCTTGACCCCGCCATCCGGTTCTTTGCCACGCCGCCCATCCATGGCTCGCTGGCCTCCCTGGTGGACCACCCCGCAGACTGGTGCTACCCGCTGCCGGCAGGGGTCAGCCACGAGGAGGGCGCCATGTGCGAGCCGCTGTCAGGTGACGTGCGGCCCCGCCCGGGTCCCCTTCTCGCTGGCTGCCGCCTCTCCCACGACCCGGGCTGACCCATGTGGGGTGACCATGCGCCAGCCCTGTGCGCGTGGCCTGGTGCAGTGGGCGTCCACGCATGCAGGCGCGCCGGGGTGTCGCCGGGCAAGCGGGTGGCGGTGATGGGGGCAGGCCCCATCGGTGAGATGTGCCCGCCGCCTGCTCCCCGGCCAGCGCCCTCCTGCGTGCCATTGCCAAAGCACGCCTCCCTGTCTCCATGCATCTCAACTCCATTGAGGCTGGCATTTCTCTCTCTCAGCAGCGCTAGGCCTCACCTGGCATCTCACCCTCCCACCCGCGGCCCTGGCCATACTGCCGAGCGTGTGTGCAGGCCTGGTGGTGCTTCTGGCGGCACACGCCTTTGGTGCTGATGCTGTGGCCGTCACTGACCTGAAGGAACAAAACTTAGTGCTGGCCAGGCAGGTGGGCTGGGTGGGCGAACGCACGGCTCAGGTGGTGGCTGGCTGTTTGCACCCAGCACACCACGAGTCCCGGCCGGCAGCCTGTATCTGGTGCAGGCATGATCCCTGCGGCGCACCCCACACCTGCGCCTGCCCCAGCGCCACATTCCCTGTGTGCAGCTGGGCGCCAGCGCGGCGCTGCAGGTGTCTCCCGACCAGCAGCCCGCCGACATTGCGCTGGCGCTGATGGCGGCGGCCGACGCTCCCGACGGATTCGACGTGGTGGTGGATTGCGCCGGCTTCCAGCAAACGATGCAGGTGCGGGGCGTGCAGTCAGCTAGCTGTCGCTGCAGTGCATGCTGCTCTCAAGGGACCCGCCACCGCCTGCCTCAGCCGTGGTTGGCCGCCGGGAGCGGTTGGCTGCCCCCCACCTTTGCCGTGTGCGCGTGCTGCCCTGCAGACGGCGCTGAAGAGCTGCATGAGCGGCGGCAAGGTGGTGCTGGTGGGGATGGGGCAGGAGGAGATGCAACTGGGGCTGGGCGAGGCATGCATACGGGAGGTGGACATTCTGGGCAGCTTCCGGTACTGCAACACCGTGAGTGGGTGGCAGGGCAGCACCGAAGGCGGTAGCAGGGTAGGGCGTGCTCTGCGGCATGCATGCCTGATTCGACCAAGTATCGGCAAGCTCCCTCCTGTTTTCACGGCAGGCAGGGTGGCACCAGCCTGTACCGCCAGGCCTGCCCTCCTGATCGCGGCTGCTCCCCTCCCACGCCTGTCGCAGTACCCTCTGTGCCTGAGCCTGCTGTCTTCGGGCCGTGTGGATGTGAAGCCGCTGATCACCCACCGCTTTGGGTTCAGCGCTGCGGAGGTGCTGCGGGGGTTTGACACGGCGCATCGGGCGGACGCCACTGGGGCCATCAAGGTCATGTTCAATTTGTAAAGAATGGGCCACGTGCTGTGGGGGGGCTGCAGCTGCGGAGCTCAAACTGAAGAGGTGGCCAGGTGGGGATCAGGAGGGTCGCGATTTCACATCGCATGCTTCCAACAGCGGCAAACGGAGGTATCAATTGGCGGTACCACACAACAGGCTGGAATGAAACAGTAAACAGGGTCAGGGACGAAATTGCACGTGCTGATTGTACAGCGCGCACAGAGCAGCCACGGGCTAATCTGCTCCTGCCAACAGCTCGGAAACAGCAGCAGCCCCCTGTCGCTGCTCAAGTGCTTGCAGCGCCGGCGCCTGCTCTCGCTGCCCGCCGCCTCCTCCACCTCAGGTTCCTCTGACGACGTTCCACAGCTGGCATCGCTGCTGCAGATCCACCCCTGTGGGCGTGTCTGAAGCCGGCACCTCCTGCTGCTGCTCCTGCTTGGCTTGCGCCGCCGATGCCCCCGCAACAGCCAGCCCCGGCTGCTGCTCTGGTCCTGCTGCCGCTGCCGTCTCCTCAGGCAGCAGCCCCACCTTGCGGTACCCATCAACCCACTGTTGCTCTGTCTGCCGCAACAGCTCCTCCCAAGTCTCTATCTGCGGGCAGGCAGTGAAGTTCAGGGACGAAACAGTTGCAGGAGCCAGGTGAACAGGCTCAAACACGTAGCTGAAGCCATGCCTGCATACCGCCCCGTCCATTCCCTGCCTGTCGCCACCCCCGGCCTGCAACCGGCCCAACACTCGTCCTCGCAACGAAAAACACTCTGAGTGAATGGACGACCATTCTACTCACCAAGTGCAAGTTTTTGTGGCAGGTGGAACACAGGTCCATGGCTGGCACGCCCCGCATCTCCTCCACTGCCCCCTCAGGAAGCTCCAGGTGTGCTACTGCCACAAGCCTGATCGGGCGCCGCTCCAGGACCGCGCTCAGCTCTTCATGTAGCTGCCGCAGCCGCGTGCGGTAGAATTCAGCCCGAGCTGCACAAGAGGCAGCCAGCCGCCGTCTTGCGTGGCCACCGCCCAAACAGCAGTGTGCCTGACCGGCCGCGGCCAGCCAGTCACGAGAATTGCCTTCCAGCATGGCGGCCCGGAACTGTGCAGAAGGAGCGAACATGGGCTGAGTCCCAACTCACGCGCTGACTGCTCGGGGCGGTACTCAGGTTGCCTCCCGGGCTGCGTCGGAGGCGGCCAGGTGCGGTGCGCGGTGCAGCGCTTAACCCTCGCGGTGCAGCGCTTAACCCTCGCACCTCGCACTCCTCTATGCCTAACTGCAGGCCCTGAATGCGCAGCTGGAGAAGGCGCTGCGGGTCTCGCTGCTCTGGCGGCTTCGCACGCTCCTCACGGAGTCCTTGGCGCACGACCATGCGCAATTCGAAATGTTCCCCACTTCCTTGTGCGGGCGCACGCGGCTGGGCCGCAAACAGGCCCGCCAGGCCGCTGCACACATTTTGCAGCCACTGCATTAAGTTAAGCAAAAGTTGAATTAGCAAGACTGGTGGCCATGGGCCAAAAGCTTGCACTGCAAGGTCATGGGCTTGCTGAGTTGGCATGGCACCGCCGCCGCGCCCGCCTGCCCGCCTCCCCGGCGAGGGGCCCTGCCCCTGCTTGCCCACTTGGTTTGTGTGGCACCCGCCTTGGCCCTGGCTGCACTGGCCTCGCAGTCTGCTCGCCAGGGAGCGATTATGTGGTCGTTGGCAGCAGGCCGCATGCGTGGTGTGCAGCGTACACCTTGATCACGTGTGCCCCCTGCCCAAGGTCTGCTCACGCGGCCTATCATAGCGGGGTGACTGTAACACCTATCTAGCGTAGGATGCATTGAACGACCACACGATCAGAGTGTTGGCGCTGCTGGGCTGCCCCAGGCCCTCAACGTTGTTCTGCCCCTTGGGATCGCCCCACCTCCTGCGACTACGCCACCGCCCCGCGCCTGCCACCACCAACGCCCAGCTGGCGGGCATCGCCATTGGAATGGTGTTGCCACAGGCCACGTGCTTCGCCTGCAGTAGTAGATACAATTGGCGAAGATGGCCAGGCTCGCCAACGCCGCCATTGGTATCCACTACTGCCGCCGCAGCGTGCTGGGCCTGCGGCCCTACCTGCTGGCACCCTATGTGGCGGTTGAAGCCACGGTCGCACCCGCCTGGCAGCCGGGAGGCAGACCCCAGCCTCGCACGCCGCGATGCCCGCCTGGCATTGCAGGCCTGGCCTGGTGGCGGGGCTCTGAGCAGCTGGGCACGGCGGCGGCCCTCATGATCATCCACCATCCTAGCCTGTGCCCTGGACCCTAAACCCTTTCTCATTCTAAATTCATCCAGCTTAACAAACGCTTGCCCGAGGGCATGATGAAATGGAACGTGGCCAGCAGGCGGGTGGAGACGGGCTGCGGCATATCTATGTCTCGCATCCGTCAGGGCATTGCCGGCCTGGGTGGGTTGCCGTGGACAAGGGACCCCGTGGGCAAGGGACCCCGGGGAAGGGCCGGCTGCGACCTACGGCTGGCGAGGGCGGGAGGCCAGGTAGAGCTCGCCCTGCATCTCGTACAGCCGGCTGACCGCGCGCGCGAAGGCAAAGCGCTCCTCGGCGCCGCCCAGCCGCGCCGCGGCGGCGGCCGCCTCGGCCGGGGTTCCCGCCACGGGCGCCACGCCGCCCTGGGCGCCCACATCCCGCCGCAGGCGGGCGCCCTCCACGGCGCCCTCAAACTGCGGGCGGCACAGGGCGGTTGGGACAGGGCGGGGCAGTGGATGAGGCATGGCGTATCACATCCCTCCCCATCCTACCCCACACCCACGCCCCATGCCCAATACACTCTCTTGAGAGTCCTCTCTTTCGCACACACGCAGCACTCTGCCGCCACCACACCACACACACAAACACACGCATAGCCGCACACGCAGGCGCACCTGCAGCCCCTCCAGGTCGAGGATGCCCTCCCCCTCGGCACCCGCCCCCGAGAACAGCTGGTCGGGCGGCGCGGCGGCGGTACACACCAGGCGGGTGCGGTGGTTGTACAGCTCATCCACCAGGCTGATGAAGCGGCGCGCCTGGTCCCGCACCTGCGTGCACGAGCACAGCGGCGCAGGGTGGAGCGGAGCGCGGCAGGCATGGGCGCGCTGCGCCTGCCGCGCTGTGCCTGCCCAGCAGCTGGGTTGAAACGACACAGAACCACCACCGCCACCACGAGGCCTGCTGCCGCGCGCCTGCATGCTCAGCGGCGGCACGCCCTCCAGGAAGACTGTGTGGAAGGTCTGGGACAGGGCCACATAGTCTGCCGTGCCCAGCGGCACCGCACACAGCTCTGGGAAGGAGAAGCGCGCGGCGCCGCCGGCGCAGCGCGCCACGTGCAGCCGCCGCCCAAACATCACGCCCAGCTCCCTGCCGGCGCCCCGCTGCTGCTCCTGCTGCTGCCGATCATCAGTGGCTGGCGCGGCCTGGTCGCCTGCTGCCGTCAGCGCCCGCCACTGGTGCTCCAGCGCGGCCTCGGCGGCGGGGCCCAGAGGAAAAAAGTAGGAAGCGTGTGGCGCCGGGGCCGCTGCTGCGCCCAGCTGCATCCCAGTGGTGCCGTTGTCACCCCTGCCAGCTCCGGCGGCCGCCCCTGCTGCCGGCAGCGGCCGCAGCAGGGTCGATGCCGCCAGCAGGCGGCGGTAGTCGCGGCCCGAATCCAGGCACACCACGTCGCAGGCGGCCTGCAGGCTGGCCCTGAAGTGCTCAAACAGATCCTCATGCAGGCCCTGCCTGCACACACGGGGCACCGGGCAGGCAGGCTGGCAGCGTCAATGCCGAGCCAGCTCACAGGTAGCAGCTGTCGCCGGCTCGGGTGAACGGTAGGGCTAGGTGCGGCTGCCAGAACGCCCCCACAAGGAGCAAGCAAGGACCCCAGCTCCTGCCCGCGGCCTGCCCCCGCACGTGCCTGTCCAGCTCCCAGGGCGCCCGATTGCTGGTGGCCACCACCACGCAACCCTCTGCCAGGAGCGCCTCCACCAGACCCTTGAGCGCCACCGCCTGTGGGAGGAAGGAGGGACAACCAGGCAGGACAAGGCTGGCACAGGCACACATGGAGCAGCACGGCCATTGGCTGGGCACAGCCCAAGGCTGTGTCATAGGAGTGAACCGCCTGCTGGATGAGAGGGACGAGGGACGCGGATGGTGGAGGCAGCGGCGCGGCTCACCGTGAATGGATCGGTGACCTGCAAGCAGCGCATGTGAGGCACGGCAGCGGGGCACGGCAGAGGATGAGGGCATCGTGGGCAGCGGCAGCGCAGCGGCATCCCTGGTGACGCTAACGAACACACACACACACAGAGCAACGGGCGTCGACACTCGCACCACCCGGCGCAGGCCGCAGACACAGCCGCCGCCACATGCAGCAGCAGGCACAAGCCCGCTGCACCTGGACCTCGTCGAAGCACAGCACTGCCGCAAGGGTGGGACCGCCGCCGCCGCCGCCTGCCTCCCCCTCTGCCGCCGCTGCAGAGGCCGCCAGCTGCAGGGTGTCGCAGTTGCGGATGAGGGCGCGGGCGGCGTCGCGCAGGACGGGCGCGTTGGCGGCGGCCAGCGCGGCAGAGTGCTCGTCTGGGGAGCGGCTGACCTTGTCGCGCATCATTCTGCAGGGAGGAGGGCAGGCAGGGGGGCAGGCAGGCAGGCAGCCGTGAGCAGGAGGGGGGCAGGCGGGAGTTGGTGGAAAGGGGACCAAGCGAGGGCAACAACGGCGTGGGTGGGAGTGAGGCATGCATCGTCAACGAAGCGCTCGCCCAAGCACAAGACATGCACGGGCAGCGGCGGCTCGCCGTCTGTAGGCCAGCCGCGCCAGCTTGCTGCGCCGCAGCTTCTGTGCGATGGGGTCCAGCCTCAGTAACTGCTGCCAGGTGCTGCTGCTGCCGCTGCTGCTGCTGCTGCCACCGCCGGCACCTGTGCCTGCAGATGCTTCTCCTGCCGCTGCCGGGCCGACCGGCTGCTGGTGCTGCTGCCGCTCATGGTCGCGCTCCTGCTGCTCCCGCAGCGCCGCAGCGTATGCGTCCATCTGCTGCCGCTGGCGCGCCATGCGGCCGCTCTCGATGGCATGCATGCGGCTGCACGTTCCAAAGGGTGGGTGGGGGTGAGGCGGGGCAACAGAGCGGCGGTTCACGACGGCAAGGGAGGGGCCCGCCTTAGGGCGGCATGCCGCCTTAGGGCGGCATGCCGCCGGCGTGGCCATGGCATGAGCACAGCGCTCCTGCTCTCGTCCAGCCGCCCCTCAGCATCCATGCAAGGGCGCGGCGCTCGCCTGTGGAGCTCCAGCATGGCAGAGTTGAAGTGCAGCCTGCGGTGGTGCGGCACCGTGCCCTCCCGCAGGACCGCCGCCGAGAAGAGGTCCATGGCGAGCGACTTGCCGCTGCCCACGCTGCCATGGAGGTAAACGCCCTTGGGCGCCGCCGGAGGGGCCGGCGGCAGGCCCAGCTGCTCCCCCAGCCGCGGCTCGACGCGAGCCCTGGCCAGCACGCGGCGCTGGTGGCGCGTGCGGCGCGGCGGCGGGCTCAGCTGCGGCTCCTCGGGCGCCTCCAGCGCAGCGCTGATCCAGCCCGACACTCCGGTCAGCCTGCTGGCTGCCGCCTCCTCCGCCGCCGCCTCCTCTGCCTGGAGGCGTGCCTCCTCCTCCTCCACCAGCCGCGCTGCCAGCGCCTGCCGCCGCTGCTGGTACGCGGCGTGCTCAGCTTGATAGGCCGCCACGGCGGCGTGATGCCGCCGCAGCTCCTGCCGCAGCACCTCCAGGCGCTGCACGCAGGCCTCCTGGTGGGGGTCGTGCCTGAGGGTTCCAGCAGCCACGAGCGCGGCGTAGCGCTGCGTGAGGGTGACCAAGCTGCTGCTGCCGTTGACATTTGCGGCGGCGGCGGCGGCGGCGGCGGCGGTGCAGCCGGAGGGGCCAGCTGCCGCCGCCTCCGCTCGAATGCAGCCATGGCGAGGTACCTCTGGCTGCATGACGCAACAGTGGCCGCCCCAGGCTGCAGCCGCCTGGTGAGCAGCATTCCTGAAACAGCCCGCATCAAAATGATGCCCCCGCAATGCCAATGCCACCAATTGGGCCTTCCTAGCAGGTAATGTGAATTCTCTATGGTTCTGCGCCTCTCTTCAGGCGAGAGGAGCAGGTTGGTGTGGGTGGCTGTCGCCACGTGTGCCCCACACATGAGGCAGTGCTCAACGCCAGTCGACAGTCAGCTTGTTAGGGAATCGGCCGACGTTTGGGTGGACAGGCACCCCTGCCCGCTCCCCACCCCTGCCCGCTCCCTTGCATTCGCGCATTGCCGCGTCTGGGGCCCTCCCGTCCCTCAGTGATATCATGGCATGCTGCGGCAGCGGTCTGGCCAGCGTGGGGCGGCTGCTGGCTCGACCTGTGGCGCAGTGCCGGGCGTTTAGGACCGCCAGCCTGCCCGGCCGCCTGTCTGTAGGCTTGGGGAGGTGATCACATGGCATCCATCACGGCGCATGTGGCGGCGGTCGTGGTTCCCGCAAGTGCGGTGGCGGCGGCGGCGGGATGCTGCCTGGCCTTAGTCGCTGCTCGCTCAAACCATCTGTCCTGGTATTCGGTGCAGGCCGCTGGCAGCCGAGGGCCCCGGCAGCATGCGGCAGCCATGGCGCGGCCTGGCCAGCAGCAGCCTGCGCGCGGCGGCAGTGGACGTGGAGCAGCAGCAGGCGGCCGCGTCGGCCGCCGCCGCCGCCGCCGCGCCGCTCCAGGATGTCGTGGCCGCGCTGCGCTCGCGCGGCCTGCTGCAGGACGTCACCTCTCCCGACCTCGCCGCCGTCAGCACCCAGGAGCAGCTGCTGGCCTACTGCGGCTTTGACCCCACCGCAGAGAGCCTGCACCTGGGCAACCTGCTGGGCATCATCGTGCTGGCCTGGTTCCAGCGCTGCGGCCACCGCCCAGTGGCGCTGCTGGGGGGCGCCACCGGCCGCGTGGGGGACCCCTCGGGTGCGTGAATGCTGCCGGTGCAGCCTGTGCAGCCGGTGCAGCCGGCGCCAGTGGTGAAATGGGAGCCAAAGCCTGGCAGCGACACAGCCGATGCCTGCACACTCTGCATGCTCGCCTGCGCCGCTGCCGCCGCCGCCGCCGCTGCCGCTGGTGCGCTGATGCACTCTGGCCTTCCCTCCCCGGTGCAGGCAAGAGCGCGGAGCGGCCTGTGCTGAGCGAGAAGGTGATTGAGCGGAATGTGGCGGGCATAGAGCGCACGCTGCGCACGCTGCTGCAGCCGCCGCCGGGCAGGTGCGGTGCGGCGTGGGTGCGGCTGGCGTGGGCAGCGACCGGCGTGTGCGCTGCAGTTTGGCCGCTGCCTGTGCTGCCTCTCCTTCTGCTGAACTCAACCATGTGCGCCAGTCGAAACTCCCCTGCTTGCCTGGCCCCCGATGATGCTGCCTGACCCCTGCTTCCCTGGGCCCTTCCGCGCTGCCCAACCCCTGGTTGCCGCAGCGGCCTGCCCGAGCCTCTGGTGCTCAACAACCTTGACTGGTTTGGCGGCATGGGCCTGCTCACCTTCCTTCGGGAAATCGGTGCGTGGGGGAGGGAGCGGGCTGCGTGTGGGAGCTGGGCAGGGGCGGTCACAACAGGGCTGCCTGGGCCTGCCTGGCAGGCACAGCAGCCTGGCTGGCCTCATCCCCTGGGGTGCCTGCCCCACCACTGCCCGGCCTGCGCCCGCCGCTGCAGGCAAGTACGCCCGCGTGGGCACCATGCTGGCTAAGGAAAGCGTGCGGAAGCGCATGGAGAGCGACACCGGCATCTCCTACACAGAGTTCACCTACCAGCTGCTGCAGGTGGGTGGGTGGGTTAAGATGGCGGGCAGGGACGGCCCTGGGGGACCCTCCGCAGCCGTGGGTGGGCCTCAGGGGCTGCGCAGCCGCTCCCAGCTGCCGTGCTGCTCAGCTAGTGCGATCGCCTCGTCCCATACAGTGAACACACCCTGTCGACACCGCCCTCACCTCACACACCATGTGTCCTGCCTCCCTGGTCCCCCCCCCCCCCCCCCCCCCCCCCAAAACACACACACAATGCAGGGCTACGACTTTGTGCACATGCGGCGGCAGTACGGCGTGAGGGTACAGGTGGGCGGCTCTGACCAGTGGGGAAACATCCTGGCGGGCACAGACCTGATGCACCGCATGCTGGGCGGGCCGGAGGAGGGCGAGGAGGGCGCCGACGCCGCGCAGCAGGACGGCGCAGCCAGCAGCAGCAGCAGCGGCAGCAGCAGCAGCAGCAGCGGTAGCAGTACCAGCGAGGCGGGCGGCGGCGGCGGTACCGGCGAGGAGCCATGCTTTGGCCTCACCTTCCCGCTGCTGCTCAAGGCCGACGGCAGCAAGTTTGGGAAGAGCGAGAGTGGGGCGCTGTGGCTGAACGGCGACATGATGAGCCCCTACCAGTTCTACCAGTTCCTGTTCAAGACCGCAGACGCAGGTGTGGGCCTGGCCGTCGCTTTTGTGAGCTGGGCGTGCTGCTGGGGGGCCGGCTGCTGCACAGGAGGCAGGCGGGCATGCTGCGGCTGCGCAGCAGCAAGGCGCGCGAGCATCCAGCTGCTGTGGCCGGCAGCGGCCCTGTCCCCTTCTCCTCGCAGTGTGCCGCCCCCTCCCCGCATCCCCCGGCAAACACTGCCTCCGTGCTATGCCCTGCCCCCTGCTGCCCCGCAGACGTGCTCAAGTTCCTGCGCATGCTCACCTTCTTGCCGCTGGAGGAGATTGAGGCGTTGGGCGCATCCATGCAGGTGCGTGCGGGCTGCCGCTGGCAGATGCCGGCACCCCTCCTGTCACCCACACCACGCCCCGCCCAGCTAGCTTCTCCTCCTCCGCGGCTGCGCTGCCTCCTTGCTTGCCCCATGCCAGGCCGACAGCCTGCTGCACACCCAACCACCCCTGTGCTACACACACCTCGCCCACGCTACTCAACCACCCGCATGCAGAGCCCCGGCTATGTGGCCAACACGGCGCAGCGGCGGCTGGCGGAGGAGGTGACACGCTTTGTGCACGGGGAGGAGGGGCTGCGGCAGGCACTCAAGGCAACAGAGGCGCTGGCGCCGGGCGCGGGTGGGTGTACTGGGGCAGCCGGGGGTGGGGGGGTGGAAAGGGCTGCTGCCGCTGCGCATGGCTGCCCTGTCCTGTTGCCGGCCGCCAGCCGGGCGCCTTGGCTAGACCGCTCCCGTGCCACCTGCCCCGCCGCCCTCTACCCCACCCTGCTGCCTCTTGACCTGCCCCCTGCCCCTTGAACCTTGCGCCCCGCCCCCTTGGTGTGCCTGCAGCCACCAAGCTGGATGCAGACTCCCTGGAGGCGGCCGCCGGAGACGCCCCCTCCGCCTCGCTGCCCCGCGACCAGGTGGTCGGAGCCCCGCTGGCGGACGTGATGGTGGCGGTGGGCATGCAGCCCAGCAAGGCGGCAGTGCGGCGCATGATCAAGGTGAGCGCGTGTGTGTGTGCAGCACATGTTTTTGCGTGTGTGGGTGGTACGGCCTGGGATCCCGTGGCCTGCCCGCCCTGCAAGGCAAGGGCGCAGGTGGTAGGTGCTTCTCGTCCTCTTGCTTGGCCTGTGCCAGCTGCGGCACGCCGACACGTGCTGCCGCCTTCCGCTGCAGGGCGGCGGCGTGCGGGTGAACAATGAGAAGGTGGATGACGAGCTGGCTGCCCTTGGGGAGGATGACCTCATTGACGGCAGGCTGGTGCTGATCGCTGCGGGTAAGAAGAACAAGATGCTGGTGCGGGTGGCATGAGCCCCGGTCGCGCGCCGTCGGCACAGGCTGGCCGCACAGCCAGCCGTAATCAGCACTGCTTGATTCAGCACTGCTCTCTTGTTTGCCTGTTTACACTGTAAGCGGATGCATGATGGGCATGTGTTAGTCCGATTCGCAGCCCTGACAATGGCTAGTATAGCGTCGAGTCGCAACCCAATGCTCTACAAGATAGTGGGGTGGTAGAAAGGGCGCACCGAGCGCCTCTCAACAGAATGCCTCTCAAAAGCCTCTCAAAAAAGGAAAGGAGCAGAGGAAAGGATGGAAAGGAGCAGAGGAAAGACAGGGCGGAGCAGTTGCCCTGGCGGCGTGGGAAACAGAACCAAGGAGGGAGAGGGCCTCAAGCAAAGCGAGGGCGCATTGCATCGCAGCTGCAGCTGGTTTGATTCTTGGTGCAATACAGGGAAGTGTGCAGGTGTATTAGTGATTGCAAACATGATAGAGGGGAAGCAAGGTCAGGGATAGGATGCCGCACCAGCTGCTCTCAACAGCAGCGGGGCCGGCGTCACGTAGTGAGTCACTTTGCAGGTGCAATGCAGGCTAGGTCCTACTGCTGAATGGATGCAGGCTAGGTTTTGCTAAATGGATTCATAGAATGAGATGAGATGAGATGGGATGGGTTCCTGGACCGGGCACTTCACTTCAGACGAGCTGTTGCTGGGCCGCGGGGCCGGCGGCGCCCGCCAGGTAGCTGCACCAGTCAAAGGCGCAGGACAGCAGGGCCCAGCAGATGAGGCCGGTGTGCAGGGCGCAGCCGTCCAGGGTCAGCCCGTCGATGAACTCAAACAGCGCGGCGTGGGCGCCCTGCTCCCGCTCCAGGCCGGCCGCCTCGCGCTGCTGCTGGTGGGCGCGGAAGAGGCGCGCTGTGGTCACCGCTTCGTACAGCAGCGGGCACAGCAGGCCCACGCCCAGCTGGCACCACGCCAGCAGCGCGCCGCACTCTGCCGCCCCGTCCAGCGCCACCAGCCGCGAGATGGGCAGCGGCACCAGGCACGCCACCGCGCTGACCAGCGCATACGCCTGGTGCGTGCCGCGCTGCGCCGCCGGGCTGCTCATAAGCTCTGTGGAGCAGATGTGCTCGTTGGAAGGCAGCGCGCACGCGGCTATGGCCGCGCTGACGGCGGCAGCCAAGCTGCACAGGCGGAGGGCGGGGGCGGGGGTAGGTGAGCTCGGTATGGATGCGTGCAGCACGCAGCGAGCGCGGCAGCCAGACCAGGCAGCACATGACGCTTGGTGGCACCACGCCAGCACCGCCGTTGGCTCACCCCAGCCGCACTCGCCACACGAGGCCGTGGTGCAGCATGGCCGCGGCGCCGCTGAGGATCAGCAGGGAGGCCAGGTGGGTGGCCACATCGGCCCAGCCGTCGGCGCCGTCGGGTGCCCCGGCTGCCACCAGCAGCTGCTGAGTTAGCACCGACCCGGGGATGGACAGCCCCAGACCAAAGGTACCAACCCGCATGGCCGCCATAGGCCACTCGCGCCAGCGGGCAAAGCTGTCGCGCCAGGGGCTGGCCCGCACGGCCAGCAGCGCGGCGCAGCCGGCGCAGTAGGCGAGGAGCGCGGCGCAGCCCACAGGTGACAGCAGCGGGTAGAGGCGGATCAAGGCCGAGACATAGAGGGCCTGCGACAGGGACGGGGCGGCAAGGCACTGATTCCATGGCTGGCGGCCAGCAATGCAGATCGTCGAGGCAATGGCTGCGAGCCTGCGGTCGAACTCTAACGCCAGGCGGCGGCGCCGGCGGCGACGGCCTCACCAGGGTGCACCACTCTCCAGTCGTCTGTTTGGCGCAATACGCATTCCACCGCGTGTAGAAGGCCAATTCTGGCCCTCCTGCCAGCCCCCCGCTGCTATCGGCGTATGCACTGCAGCGAGTCATAGCCGGCCCCCGCGGGCCCGTCTGCAGCAGAGGCCCCGCTGTGTGTACCGGGGATTGATGCGGCCCACTCCTGGACGGGGCACAGGCGGGGCGCCACTTCGCGGCCGTGAAGCCTCGGCTGGCAGTCCTTCAGGATGGTTGGTATGAGAGGATGACAAACGGCACAGACGAAAGAAAAGACGAGCACCTTAAATCCCAGCAGGCCCATGGCGGCGCCAGGCGTCCGACGGGCGCCAGGAGTCGCCGACATCATCAGCGCGGGGGGCTGTGAGCATCCTTTAATAAAATATAGGGAAGAGGTCAAGCGGACCCTTGGGGTGGAGGGTACGTTTGCACCCGTCTGCAAGTTCGTCTGTGCCCCCAAGTTCGTTTGTGCCCGACGCTCCCCGCCGCGGGCCGCGCCACCGTGCTTGCTCGTAACAATCGCCCTGCTGACAGGGTCTTCCAGTTTAAGGGCTTGTGCTGCTTAACGAGTGTTCTTGGCATCGCTCATCGAGAGGAATGGTCCATCTGCATGGGTGCGCCGATCCCGCTGAGCATCCACAGCGCGCCCGCATGGGGCAGCGGAGCCTGTGCGTTCTCTCATTATGCGCGCGAGCCTGGTCGGCTTGCGAAGCCAGGAGGTCGCGGCCGCATGCAATTTGTGCAAAGCATAGTCGCTCGCTTTGGTCTGAAGCGCGAGGCCGGGGCGAGCCCAGCGTGCAGCTCGCCAAACAGCAGCGCAGCCTCAAAGGGCTGCAGTGCGCAGCTGGGGAGCTGCCACCTGCAGGGCCAGAGCACCGCAAAGCGTGCCAAGGTCATGCCGCGCGGCGGCGAGCACCAGCCGCCGCCCTCGCCTGGCTTTAAGGCGAGTGTGAGGTGGCTGGCTGCTAGGCTGAGGGCGGCCAGGCTAGCGAGCCATGCCCCTTGGCACCACACTCATTCGCCCAGCCCCTGCAGGCCAACCCACTGTTCGATGCCGCCTGTGGCGCCGGCACCACCAACCCGCTGTTCGAACAGGAGGAGGGTGACGACGAGGCAGACGATTTCGACATGATCAGCAGCAGCCAGGAGAACGACAGCTTCATAGGCAACGGCTGGTCAACCGTCAACACCGCGATCGACGGCAACCAAGGCCCGTTTGCCGAGATTGCTGCGCCACCACAGGCGGGCAGCGGCGGGCTGCTGGCTTCCTTCCGCCGCGGGCTGCTCGCTTCGCCGGTCTTGTGTGCCGTCACACGCCTGCACCAGTGCGGCCTGCACCCACTGGGCCGCGGGCTGGACACAGTAGACTTCACCCTAGCAGGTATCTATACCACAGTCAACCTCCTTCGACTGAGTGCCGCCAGGCTGGTCCAGCAAGGGCAGCACCCACCTGCTCAGCAGCTATGGTTGGGCCTGCTTAGGAGCAGTGGTTGTGCTCCCCAGCTGCTGCTTGGCATTAATGTGGGTGCTACTGCGCCATGCACCGCGTCGGCTTGTGCGTACGCGCCTGTGGTGCAGGCATGCTGGTGCTGTGCCGCCGGGCCAAGCTGGGGGATGAGGAGCTGGCACCCGAGGTGCTGCTGACCATCCTGTGGTGAGCAGCAGGGTTGTTGGCAGGCTGGGTGGATGCTTGTGGGTGCTGGGACAGGGGAGGGCCGTGCTCTGATGCTCTGGCCAGCTGGCGCTCGCCGCCATGCCAGCTCTGGAGCCAAGCAGCAGTCCACCACCTGCCAACCTCCCTGCCTGCCCGCTTGGCGAGTGCCGGCAGCAGCGCACTGCCCCATCAGCCCTTCTCACAACCTCTGTGCAGGATACTGGAATCGGGTGCCTCGCAGTGTAAGTAGGAGATGTGCGAGTTTCAATTGATGCTGCAGCACCGGGCAGCAGCAGCAGCAGCTGATACCCTTCCCCTTCATCAAGCCTGCTGCTTGCAGACCGCTCGGGCCTGGAGGTGTGCCTGCACACCTACCTCAGGCTGCACCCACAAGGGCGCTTTGTGGCAAAGGGGCTGTACCGTCGGATGCTGGATCTGCAGGTGGAGGTGGGTGCTGCTGTGCTGCGCTGCCGTGACGGATGCTTAGCTTTGGCTGGCCAGGGCAGGGCCGGGTGCAGTTGCATGTCCGGTGCCAAGGCATGTGCAGGCGGCGCGCTGTGCATGGGGCTGCAGCCGGGGAGCCTGCCGCTTGGACCTGCCGCCCTGCTTGGCATGCTGTTGGTACTGCTGCCTTGCCCTGGCCCAGCGCTGAGAACAGACGTGCTGTCTGCTAATTGGAGGGGAGGGGCCGGCCCATCCTGCGGCGTGCCTGCACGCAGATCCTGAAGCGGTGCAGCTGGCGGGTGCTGCTGCTGGATGCGGGGGAGGTGCGGGCTGCGCGGGACGAGCTGCAGGCTTACCCCTCCTTTGACCGGCTGTGTGACTACATAGAGGACAGCGCAGACGGGCTGCGCCCTGTCGGCGACTCTGGGCTGTGCTGCGGGCTGAGGCTGAGCAGCGACGACGACGGCAGCTTTGGCGGCAGCGACGGCGACTTTGGCGGCGGCGACCAGTGCGGCGATGCCGCAGGGCAGGAGTCGGCGGCGGAGGGGAGCGTCGGGGCGGCGCCAGCGGGCATTCCCGCGGCATGGGGGGGCGTGGGGAGCCTGGGCGGCAGCCGCGGGCAGCAGGCGCCGTGGGCGCCCACCAAGCGCTCTGCCCGCTCCGACCTGGGCTGGCGGCCGCCGCCCGATGCGATGACCTTCCACACCAACTGGAGCTGATCCGCTGGGGCCGTGTGTGTTGTTTGGGTGCGTACATCAAAGCATGTGTGCTGGTCTTTTCCCGCTGCAATGCATATGAATGAGTGTGCATGTATGATAACATTTGCGCCGGTCCAAATTCAGGACCAGTGCTAGCCAACTCGCTCCCTTTTGCCTGCGTGAATCTGTTTACATGCCTGGCAGTCCACTAATCCTTAAAATTTGTCAACAAATCTCCTTTCTTGTAGATCCCCCTCACTCTTATGTCCTCCACTTAGCTGCCTGCTCCTCTTGGCGCTGCTTATGCTGCTGCTGCTGCTGCTGCTGCTACTGTTGCACAACCTGCTGCTGCTGCTCCTGAGCGTGGCCCTGGCCTGCCTGCGCCGAGCGCTGGGCTGCCTGCTCCGACCGCTGCATCTGCGGGAAGTTGCGGCGTGTCATGCGGCGGCTGATGGACTCGTCCTTGCGCATCTCGCGCAGCACCTCCTCCCGGCTGCAAGACAGGGCGGTACAGTATTACTCACCTGCGCTGACCAGCTGTCACCAAGAAGGCATGCCATGACATGCCATGCCTCGATGCAGCCAGCGCAACCTCCCGGCAGGCAACCGGTGTGCAGGGCGGCCCAGGATCCCCACCTGAACCAACTGCTGCTGCCAGTCAGCATCTCCATGCCGCCCTCGGGCTTCCAGCGGCGGGCCTTCAGGGCAGGGCACCCATGTGTGCGGGGGGGGGGGGGGGGGGGGGGGGGGGGGGGGGAGCCGTCTAAAGCACCACGGCAAACCCACACAGACCGGGAAGCACGCCGCAGAGAGCAGCCAGCACAGCACAGCACAGCACAGCACAGCACAGCACAGCACAGCACAGCACAGCAGCACGATACAGCACAGCAGCACGGCACAGCACAGGCGCATCCACACGGCATCCAGAGCGCAGCGCAGTCCAGCGTGCCTTGGCATCGATGCCCACAATGCGGTAGTCATTTGTGAACAGGCGGCGCAGCAGCTGCTTCACCGGCTCCCGCTCGCCCGCCCGCTCCGCCCTGCACCAGCGGCAGCAGCAGGCACGCACGGGTGTGCGAGTGTGTGGGTGTGTGATGCAGCAAGGAGGGAAGTGCAGCACAAGTGCGAGGCGAGCGGTGATGGAAGGAAGGCAGCCGCCAGCGGCGCACCGTGCCACGCATCTCTCCAGCAGCGCCAGGCGCGGCGTGTGCCCCGCCGCCTCCAGCGCCTCCAGTGACTCCATCATGCCGGCAATGTCGCCTGCGGGTGGTGGGTGTGTGTGGGTGTGCGGGCGCTGGGTCTAGTGGCGGGGTGGTGGAGGGCAGTGGTGGCAGGTAGTGGTCGCAGGTAAGGCGGTAGGGCGGAGCGAGGCAGCAGGCATGGGGCGCGTTTGTGGCGGTTCTGGCAGCGCACACTCACGCAGGCACGCACGCATACACAGCAGCAGCTGCTGCGCGAAGCCGCACACACAGGCACCCACTCACCAGCCACCACCGCCGCGTTCACCAGCTGGTGGTGTGTGTGCGCGTTGGCCTCCACGCCTGCCCCCTGCATCTGTTCGTGCACCCTGTGGGCGGTGCCCACGTCGCCCGTCTCGATGCAGCCCTGCGGCAGCAGGGGGGGAGGACACGGGGAGGGTGTACGCGTGTGAGCGAGCGAGGTCGGGCGGGCAGGTGGGTGGGTGTTGGTACCCTTGGCTTTGCAGCGGGTGGCAGGCAGCAGACCAGGGAGTGCTCCCGCAGGCATGGCAGGCCAAGAAGAATGCGCTGATGAGACACACACACACACACACACACACACGTGTATATACACACACACTCCCTCTCTCAGACACACCTGCATGAGCGCGTTGTATGTGTCGGCATCCGGCGCCACCCCCAGCCCTTCAAACGCATCAAACGTCTCAAAGGCGCGCCTGCAGCAGGCGGCAGCGGCGGTGGGATGAAGCGGGGAGGGCCGCCAATGCCATCACACCTCGCACCTCTCTCTCTCTCTCTCTCTCTCTCTCTCTCTCTCTCTCTCTCCACATCCACACCCACACACCCACAGCCTCACTCACTTGAGGTCCCCAATCTGGCAGCAGGCCGCCACCACCAGATTGAGCTGGGTGGCGCTGACGGGGCGCTCCTGCACGCGCACAAAGCTAGAGGGGCAGCATTCAGGCCCTTGCACCGACGTGCACCAGCCCTGGCTGGCTGCCCGGCAGCGCCGGGGCCAAGCCCACCTTTCCAAACGCAGTCGGCCAGCCCCCGCCCCCGCCGCGGCGTCAGCCTCAGCCTCAGCCTCAGCACCAGCAGCAGACACGCAGCAGCGCACCCTCCGAGAACACACAGCATCCGCAGGCCGGCGCCCGCCCCCACCTGCTGTGCCCAGGCCTCCAGAAGGAAGAAAGCGGCGTCGCATCGTTCCTCCGACTCCGCCAGCGCATCCACCGCCATGGGCAGGCCGGCGTGGTAGGAGGCTGCCCCGCCCTCCTCGGGGTATGCCTGCATGATATGTATTGAAACAGCGGGGAGGGGGAGGGGAGTCAGAGGGAGAAGGAGGGGAGGGAGGGGGAGGCAGGGGCTCGGCGGGAAGGGTGATGGGAGCCAGAGGGAGAAGGAGGGAGGGAGAGGCAGGGGTGCGGGCGGCTCCCCGGTGGGTTTTGCGCGGCGCAGGCAGCCAGGAGCCACGCGGGCGACCCTCTCCCTTCGACGCTGCGCTTGCAGCCGCCAGGCAGCCGGCACTGTTGCCGGCAGCGTCCCCCCCCCCTTCCCACACACACACCACGGCAGCTGCGGCGGCCCCTGCAGCAGCCCCCCGGCGCCCCACCTGCTGCATTGCCTCCACCGCCCCAAACAGCCCCTCCAGCTGCCCCGCCTTGGCGTACGCGTGGATGTGCGCCAGGTGGGCGAGCAGCGAGGGCGGGCGCATGCCGCGGCGCTGCGCCGCCACAGCCGCCGCCTCCTCCCGTACCGCCTGCGCGTCCAGCCTGGCAGAGTCGGGCGTGGAGCGGTCGGGACGGAAGCGGCGGGCAGCCGCCTCGGCCGCCTCGGCCGCCGCCACGTCGCTAGCCTCCAGCTCCTCACCCCACTGCTCCAGCTTGGAGCAGGCAGCGGGCTCGGCGGCTGCCTCCCCGCCAAGCCCCTCCTGCCCGCCCTCCGCCCCAGCCGCATCCGGCGTCGCAGCAGCGCCCGCCGCCGCGTCGGGCAGCGCAGCGGAAGCCTCGGCCTCTGCAGCGGCCGCCGCGGCCGCCGCCGCGTCCTCCTCCGCCTCCTGCCGCCGCTCCAGCGCCGCCACCTGGCCCAAGTGCTTGGCCAGGGCGCCGCCGGTGCTGGGGGGGTTGGGCAGCGCCACCGACCGCTCCAGAAGCTGCAGCGCATGTAGAGGTGTGTTAAGGTGGTGCGCGGGACGGGTGGGTAGGTAGGAGGATGCCAGGCAGGGAGGCTTGCATGCGGAGGTCCGGGAGCGGCTGCAACGGCTGCGGCGCGGCCAAGCGAGGCGGGCACGCCTGGACGGGAAGCAGCGGGAGCTCCCCAGCTCCTGCCTACCCACCCGCCCCATTCGATCGCCCAGCCACCCCACACACACTGCCACCAATGCCCACCAATGCCCCACCCTCCCCACACCCACCCTCCAGCATCCCCCAACACTCGCCACCCTCCCTCGGCTGCCTGCCTGCCGCGCCGCACCTGCCACGTCGCCTCCGCCAGCTCCACATCCCCCCGCCCAGCAGCCACCTCCAGCGCCCCCAGCAGCAAGCCCTCCTCCACCTTGAGAGGCCGCGTCACGGGCTCACCCACGCCAGGCACCTCCTGCACAGCGGAGGGGCAGGAGGGGTGGCGGCTGCTGGTGCATGTGCTTGCGGTACGTGCGTGCGGTATGTGTGTGCATGCTGCCATTGCCTTGAACGGGTGGGCACGCGGCAACGGTCTTTGGGAAGGGCTGGACGGAGGAGCCGGAGCAGGCTGGGGAGGGCAGGAGGTGGCAGCATGGCAGCTCACCTGGAATGTGGAAGTGGCCTGCTCCAGCCGCCGCACACACTCCAGCAGCGTCTTGGGTCGCCCCGCCAGCACAGCCATGTGAAGAACGTCTGCAGGGGCAGGGTGGGAGGGGGAGGCGGGAGTGCGAGCGCGCGCGCGCATGTGTGTGTGTGGTGGGGAGGGGTAGCCTAGGCCAGGCACCCTCTGCCCGTCAGCGGGCACAAGCAGCGGGCACAGGCACGCCCCCACGCTGGCGCTTCCACCGCACCTGCCACCAGGAAAGCAGGCACCCGCAAGCCCATCGCCTCCAGCTGCTCCAGCAGGGCCAGGGCGCTGTCAAAGCGCCCAAACCTGCAGGGGGAGGGCAGGCAGGCGGCACGGTACCGCATGGGTGACCGGCTCATCCCCGCCGTGCTGCGCCGCACGAGGCGCCGCACAGTTGCCACGCCGGCTCACCGCGCCAGCTCCCGCACGCCGTGCATCATCAGCTTCCCCAGCTCCGACTTCTGTGTGGGGTGCACAGCCAGCCCCGTCTCCGCCACCTCATCAAACATCCTGCAGGTGTGTGTGTGTGTGTGTGTGATGGGGAGGGTGGGGCGGCATGTGTGTTGTGCGGGGAGGCAGGGAGGAAGGAGGGGAGGAGGGGGCTCGTGGCGGGCGGCCTCTGCGGCAGGGGAGGCGCAGGGGAGGCGCAGGGCAGCCGCAGGCGGGCGGCAGGGGGTCGGGACAGGCAGGGCTCACCTCTTCACGTAGGTCAGCTCCGGCGTGGTGCAGCGCAGGCACGACTCGATGGCAAACATGAAGCAGCGCAGCGTGGGGGTCAGCCCCCGGTCCTGCGGTGGTGGTGGTGTTGGCACGATGAGAGTGCCATATGGGGATGGTGGTGCGAGGGCATGCAGCAGGCAGCAGGCAGCAGCAGCGGGCAGCAGCAGCAGGCAGCAGCGGCAGCAGCAGTGAGTCCATGCTGCCCCCCAGGCCTGCCTACCTTCATACGCAGGATTGTTGTGTAGGCTGGCGACCCGATGCCTTGCCTGGCCATCTGGCGCAGGGCGATGACGTAGCAGGCGGGCTGCACGGGCAGGGGGCGGGGGCAGGGGCGGCGGCCTGGTGAGGACGCCCCGCAGCAGCAGATATGCGTGCCACAGAGGCCTGCGCCGCGGTGAGGCCTGCGTTATGCTACACAGCCGCCCGCAACAAAACAAGCATACAGTCGCAAAGACCCGCGCGCCTCCCACCACGCCCCGCCGCCGCCGCTGCCACTGCCAGCTGGCTGGCTTGCCTGCGGCTCCACCCTCAGCTTGACCATCAGCTCAATGAGCTCAGACATGTGGTGGGCGTGGCAGTTGGTGGCAGCCAATACCGCAAAGTACAGCTTCCAGGCGTAGGGAGGCGGTACCGCCAGCCCTGCAGCCCGCGGGTCCTCCCCCTGAGGCACACCAAGGGCGAGGTGGGCAGGCGGGCAATCAGGTCAGGATCAGGAAGAGGTCAGGCGGCTGAGTGGTCCAAGCAACCGACACCGCAGGCACACACACAATCATTGAATCAGTCAATCAAGCACAAGCGATGCGCACCCGCTGCAGCGCTTCCTTGAGGGGCGCCAGCGCCGCCTCAAACGCGTGCTTGGCCTCCCACGCATCCTCCCTGTCCACATGCCCCCGCAGCTCCCTCACCAGGGGCAGATCCAGGTCCTCCCAGCCCTGCAGGCAGGCAGGCAGCAGGCAGGCAGCCAGGGAGGAGGGCATGGGTCACCAGCAGCCCCAGCCATCTTGCAGGTTGCCGCCAGCCGCAGCTCTACGGCGGCCACAGGGCCGACACGTCGTGATGTGGCGCCCACGCCCTGCAGCACCCCACCCCCACCTGCTGCTCCCAGTGCTGCGGCACGTAGATGCGCGGCTTGCGAGGCGGAGGCCTGCCTGCCTCGCCGTGGCGGCCCCGCCCGGCGCCAGGCCGGTGTTGGGATGGCTCCCGATGCTGCCTGCCTCCGGCCTCAGAACTGATGCCCTCACCCTCCTGCACTCAGCCGCACGACATAAGAGTGTGGTGATGGCCAGCGTGTGGGAGCAAGAAACCAGTGGGGCAAGAGGCAGGGCAGGCAAGAGGCGGGCGGCGGCGCCAGCCTGACCACGACCCAAACCTGAGGCGTCCAGCGGCGCGCCCAAGGGCCTCACCTGCTGTTCCGCAGCAGCATCGGCAGCCGAGCTTCTCAGTTGGCGCAGCAGCGACGGCACCTGCCATGCGGCCTGCGACTGCTGCAGCGCTGGGAGCCCGATAGCGCTCGCTTGCAAGCTTCTGGCTGCCGTGGAGCTCAATGAGCTTAGCCGCCAGACCTCCTGTAGCAATCGCCTGTGCGCCATCCTCGCACCACCGCCAGCGGGCTAAGCGGATGGCAATTGCAGACAGGATGGGAAATTACTATAAGAAGTCACTCTCATTTCTGAGTTCTCACAGGTTTCCCTCTCTGCTGAGTTGGCGCCGCTGCCTATCAGCTTGCAACCAGCACATTGCACAAGAGCTGCATCCGCGAAACCAGGAATGAACAAGGGCAAGAATCGATTTGCAATTTACAATCGGGCCATCATTGAGATGTGGCTCACTCGAGCGGCGGGCACTGCGGCGGCACCACCGTCGATGCAGTGGCGGCGCCACTGCCAACATGGGGGAGTGCAGGCACCACCAGCACCATTCAGACACCACATTGTTGCTTGGGCATCGTCCACTGTTGCGCTCAGATGCAGCTCACCACGGCGAGTTGGCTGCCAGGGGAAGGCGGGAGCGCTGACTTGGCGCGTGCGCGCGATCGCGCGCGATGCAGCCTGTGGCCAGCAGGCTAGGCCATCACCCAGCCGGATGCAATCTGTAGACTGTAAGTACCAGACTGTAATCCAGGCGGCTCCTCTCCTGCCGATCGGCTGCCCGGGGTTGTGCCCTCGTCTCCCACCTGCACCGGACCGGCGCCAGCTCCCGGCCAGTGCGATATTGAGCTTGCCGCAGCGCGCGCGGCAGCCCGCCAGCGACCTCTTCGGGCGGGTGTGAGGCCTGGTAGACTAGCCCAGGTGGGGCTCATCGCGTGCACTGGGTGTGCGAGGAGAAGGTGTCCCCCGCCCGCAGGCGAGGGAGGCCGCTGGTGCCACTGCCAGCGGAACCCTGCCCGCCGCCGCCGGCGGAACTGCGCCTGCAAGCAAACGCTCACCTCTGGTTGCCTGCCCAGCAGCAGCTTGTGCCCTGCCGTTGCTAGCTGCCTGCTCGATTCTTGGAGTGCCAAGGACTGCATGCACCTGACACTCCTGATCTCCACTACCCGCAGGCGGCCGAGCAGCAGCCCGCGGGCGGCGCGCGATGCACACCCGCAGCCCCAGCAAGCTGGCCGAGTCGCGGCGGCTGGTTGTGGAGGGCGATGTGTGCCGGGAGAGCAACGTGGCGGGGCGCCTGGTGAACAAGCGGTGGATGCAGCTGTACGGGGCGGGCGGCGCGGGCGGCGGCGCGGCGCAGCCCGAGCCGCCGCTGCTCGCCTCGTACCGCCACCGCGGCGACGGCGAGCCCAGCAAGCTGTGGGAGGTCACCCGCAGCTGCTCGGTCAGCGAGGTGGAGCGCGGCACCTTCCACCTGCGCCCCGAGGTCAGCACGCTGGTGGCGGTGGTGGCGGGCAGGTACCAAGATGTGGAGATGGTGAGCGCGGCTGGCCAGGGGGTGGGGTGGTGGTGCGGCTGGGTGTGGGATGGCCTAAAGCTGCAGCGGCTGGCGACGGCGGCAGCGAGGATGGGGATCACGCTTCCTGCGCCTGCACCTGCGCTTGCCACCACGCTCCCTCCACGTGTCCGCCACTTTGCCGGCCCACCCTGGGCCCGCCTCTGCCTGCCACCCACCTCGCCCCTGCCGCGCCCCTGGCCCGCCCCGCAGTACTCCTTCTCCCTTCACTTCGGTTTCAGCGGGCTGTTTGCTGCGGAGAGCCTGAGGCTGTGCTTCGAGGAGGAGGCGGCAGCGCGGGAGTGGCACTGCCAGCTGACGGCGGCCATCGGCCACATGGAGCGGCTGGGCAGCAGCGGTGTGTGGGGGTGACGCGTGTGTTGGGTGGGCGCGCGGGTGCGGTGGTGGTGTGGTGGTTGTTTGGGCAAGACGGCCAGGCTGCAGGCAGCTGCGTGTGCACATGCCGTCTGTGTGCCGCCGCTCGTGCGACCCACCTGCCCATCCCACCGCTCGCTTTCTTCCTGTCCTTGCCGCCTGCAGGGCGCCTTGGGTCGCTAGCCGCCTCGCCCTCCGACTTGAGCGGCGAAGCCGCCACCGGCGCCGCCGCCACCGGCAGCGCTCAGGGCAGCGGCGCGGCCGCCGCGGCCGCCGCCGCCTCCTCCTCCTCTGGAGCCAGGCCGGGCTTGCAGGAGGATGCGGAGCGCGTGCTGCGCCAGTGGCAGTCTGTGCGGCACGTCAACGGCGTGGCGGTGTATGCAGAAGAGGAAGGGCCGGACGGCGATGGCGGCGCGCTCATGGTATCGGCGGTGGTGCGCTCCTCGCCCCAGGAATGCTTTGAGGTGGGCGACCTGCTGCTGCGGCGGCGGCGGCTGCTGCTGCGGCGGCTTCGGCTGCTGCTTGTGGGCTGCTGCGGCGGCTGCTCGTGGTGCTGCCGGGAGGGCAGTGGCGGGGTGTTGGTGACAGGCATGCATGCGCATCGGCTGGCGGGTGGGCGGCCGAGCAGAGGGGCTGTGAGGGTGTGGGCCGCACGCCTGGCCAGCTCATACGTTGCATCGGCTGTGCTGCGGTGGTGCCGCTCGCCCATGCCTTGCATGCCCTGCGGCGCCACCCCACCACACACACACACATACCCCCACACGCCGCCCGCGCCGCCGCCGCCCTGGCTGCAGGTGCTCATGTCCAGCCACGCGCGGGCCAGCGCTATGATGCTGCAGGGGGAGGAGAAAGTGCTGGAGGTGGTGGACAAGAACACGCAGGCAAGGGGCGGGTGGCACGCAAGTACATGCACGCGCGTGTGTGTTGTGGTATGCATACAGTGTGGGGAGCAAGCCGCAGGCAAGAGCGGCGGTGTGTGTTTGCGGGCGTGTATTGTTGGTGTGGGCAGGAGCGCGCTGACGAGCGAAAGGACATCTGCTGTGGGGAGCGAGGGACCGGCACCGGAGGTGGAGCGAGCAGCGGGGTATCATTGGATCGCGCCATGCTGGTATTGCCGCAACCTGCCTGGCTGCCGACTGGCCTTGCCACTCCCTCCCTCGGCCCTGTGCACCACTGTGCAGATTGTGATGCATACCTTCCAGCCGGGAGGTATCGTGGGCCGCCTGTGCGCGCCGCGGGAGCTGGTGCGCCGCCATGCCACGCCGCCTCGCTACTTGCTGCCTCAGATTCTGGCTCCATGCGATTGCTGCCCTGCCGCTCACACACCTGGCGCAGACACGTGCAGCAGGCAGTTTGCAGGCGCCGCCGCCTGCCGCTCGGGAGCCGGGTGGGCGCCCGCACCCACGATGCCCTGCCGCTGCCGCGGCTGCGTGCCTGCAGGTCATGCTGCGTTCGTGGCGGCAGGATGCCGACGGCACCTACATCGTGCTGTACCAGTCCACCAACCATCGCAAGGCGCGGCCCGCCAAGGGTGGCTTCTTCAGGTGGGGGGTGGCGGCGGGGGTCAGCACGGGGCAAGGATCAATACAGCAGGCAGGCAGCCAGGTTTTCCGGCCGCAGCAGACGGCAGCGGCGCCTGAGCTTGTGGAGTGGCTTGGCCGCCCTCTGAAGCGCCCCCTCCCTCCTTGCCCCTGCCGGCCCGCCGCAGCTGGAAGGCTCCCGTGCGTGCCCACGTCCAGGCGGCAGGCTTCACCGTGTCGCCGCTGCTGCCGCGCTACACAGGCGCGCCGCCGGGCCTGCCGTCTGCTGGCAGCCTGCCGGCTGCCGCCGCCGCCGCAGCAGCTGCTACTGCTGCTCCCAGCCTCCCAGCCAGTCGTTCACGGCGACCAAGCCGCGGGTTTCCTCCGTGCCTGAGCGCGCCGGCGAGCTGCATCCGCCGCCGGCTCTGCACGGCGTGGCGTCCGCTGCGTCAGCGGCCCGCTTCCATGCGCCCCTCGCCGCTCAATGGTCCCTGGCCCTGCCCTGCCCTCTTCCCCTCCCCTCCCCTCCCCCATGCCTCCCCGCAGGCGGCGGCCCCTCCCAAGAGTGCCTGGTCACTTTGGTCATGAAGGGTGGACCTGGGCGGCTGGCTGAGCCCTGCCAGCCTGCTGCTGCGCGTGGGGCGCGCCGCCAGCGAGCCCGTGCTGCGGGCCTGGCTGGAGCCCATGCTTCTGTCCGTGGTGATGCTGCGGGACAAGGTGGGCTGGCGCGGGGTGCTGTCGGCTCGCGTGTGCCGCTGTGTTGATGCGGCAGCTTGCGGCGGTGTCGGCGCTTGAGTAGCAACATTAACAGCATGGTTTGAGTACTTGTCAGCACGTGGGCTGATGTGTGGGAGGTTGGTTGGTGTTAGGGTCATGCTGGTTGATTCGATGTGTGGGCACCTGAGGCATGCGGCAGGGCTGCGGCGCCTCACACACCCGCGCCTCCGTGCCGCCCTCCCTTCCGCTGCGCGCAGGTGGAGCAGAGCCGCTTTGTGGTGCGCCCGTACTCCATCGGCGATGCGGTGGACGAGCCGGCAGAGGCGGAGACGCCCAGGCCCACGCCCCGCACCGTCGCCAGGTAGGCGCGCGTGTGTGAAGATGTGTGTGTGGTGTGGCTGCGGCTGGGTGGGGTGGGCCGACTGGAGGGCTGACTGGGCGAGTGGGTCGCGGCTCGCAGCAGTGGGAGCTGCCCGGCTTCCTTCATTCCTTCCGCTGCTCATCGTCTCGCAGCCCCCGCCGCACCCCCACACTCTCCACTCCTCGCCCCTGCGCACCTGCCCACCCTGCTGCCCTCCCCCCGCTTCCCTGCCCGCCTCCTCCCTCCCCTCCTCTCCTGCCCTACCTGCCGCCCTTGCTTTCTTCCAGGACCACCACCTTCCTCACCTATTCCGGGCGGCGCAGCCAGGACCTGAAGGACGCGCGGTACAGCGGCGGCCTGGCGGCGGCGGCGCTGGCAGAGGGCGCAGACTCTGGGGCTCTCGACTCTGACGCTTACCTGGATGCTCTGTCGGAGGAGCCGGAGCGGCGAGCCAGCGGCGACGGCGGCGCGGGCACGCCGCCGCTGGGCGGCACGCCGCCGATCGCCGAGGAGGTGGAGGCGGTGCGCGCGGCGCTGCAGGCGCAGCAGGCGCAGGAGGTGCCGGAGGATGAGCGCTGGGCGGTGCAGGTGCGTGCGCGTGGGTGGCTGTTTACGTGCATGGGGGCAGTAGGAGTTGCTGCAACTGCCCCCTGCAGCCTGGGCTCCCTGGCCAGAGCGCCCATCCCTCGCCCCCTCGACCCCCCCACACACACCCAGCCTCCCCTCCTCGCCTCCCCGCCGCCCGCCTGGCCCCTACCCGGCCCCGCCTCCCGCAGGGCACCGCGGCGCGGCGCTACTGGTCCTGCCCCGGTACCGCCGACCTGCGGGTGCGGGGCAAGGGCTACCTGGCGGACAAGAAGAAGGTGGCGGCCGCCATGCCTATGTTTGACCTGTATAGTGCTGAGCTGGTTGAGGTGGATGAGCCCATGTGGCACATGGCCCGCTTCCTGCCCTCCGTCAAGTGAGCCCTCCGCCAGTGGCGCATGTGGGGGGGGTGTCGGGATGGGCTGCTGTGGCGGGCAGGGGCGGGGCTGGGCCGGGGGGACAGCAGACGGCGCCGCGCGTGTGAGGGGTGGGATGGACTGCTGTGGCGGGCAGGGGCGGGGACGGGGCTGATAGGTAGGGAGACGGCGCCGTATGACATGTGGGGTGGTGGCGATGATGCGGGCTGGGTGGCAGCAGGGGGACGGCAGGGAGGGCTGTTGCTCAGCCAGCGGGGCGAATCGCCACTGCCCGCCAAGCTGCGCGCCAAGTTTGCGTGCGCCCCTGGGGCGGCCCCTGCCCCTCCTCCGCCCCTGCCTGCAGGTACTGCGCCGCGCCCTTTATGTTCATCCTGCAGCTCATGGTGCCAGCCAACCCGCCGCTCAGGTGGGCCCCTGGGGCTGGGGCTGGGGCAGGCGCCCGGCAGGCCAGCCCGCCTGGCTGCATCGGGGCGGGCGGGGCATCCATGGCCTCGCCGCCCACACGCTCCGCTAGCCCCACACCCCACTTTGCACACCCCACTCACTGTGTACACACCCTGCCATGCCCCCCTCACAA